CGACAAGAATAGTTATAAGTGAAGATGTTGATTTAAATGTAAAGATTTACCGAATCTGATGAATTGTTAGTGGAAGGGGAATTGGTCCGTTGCAGTTTATCAGAACTGGACTGATCTGGTGAGTCACAACTACTTATTCGCAATTTAAGTAGCTTTCAAAACAATAGGAAATTATTGTCTGATCAACTTACGGGGATTTAAGGACTCAGCTTCAACACAATCAAATTGTGTGCTATTTACTTGGGGATAATTATGCCCAAATAATGTACTGAATTCTGGAGATCTAATTATTTCTTTTCATCCATACTGTTGGTGATTGATGGTTCATTATTGGGTAAATTGTAGTATGCAAACAACACTACTTTCAACTTGAAATATATAATATAAGTTTTTGTATAAGCAATAAATATTTAATCCCTCTTGATCGTTTGAGGTAATTTAAAGACTGATAGTTGAGTTTTCCTAGAAGTACCACCTTAAGAAGTCTCGGGTGATTAAGTTTTATTCAAGAATTACCGATTGTCTGGAAAACTACTTAGACCGAATATATTTGTATATCGCCATCTACAACAGTAAACATATACTTTCTTTACCTAAGATCCTGCAATAAAATGTGATTTTGCCAACCTGTCGGCCTCCAGCACCCTTGGCCTGGTGGTGAAGCTATAAAGTCTTCACGATTATCACAACCCAAGCTCGAATACCGCTGGGGTGCTGATGGGGGAATGAGACGAGAATGAAATTGCAGTCTATTCCGGCCGGAATTAGATTGCCTCTTGAGAGGCAATGTTAAGTGAATATGAGATGTATTCATCCAATTTGGTTTAAGGTGATAAATGACTGGGAATGATGAAATTGGGTGAATACATCTTATATTACTGATTTACTAGTACTCTCGATACTCTACTTAAATACAAAAAATGCAAAGTGAAGTTGGAGTGCATCGTGAGGCCTATTAATCCACTGGTGTGGGAGAATTCCACTATCAAGAACTACTTAATGTCGAAAGATACACACTATTTTGTGTCCCAATTAGTTGGTATAAATGTTATTATTGTTATTACTTTTTGTCCATTTCCATTCCTCCGCATCAGCAAAGAGAGCATCACGGGAACTTGAATCTCTCGGCTTCGTCCAATCAACAACTACTAAAAGCACTGAAAGATGCCACTTGTCTTTCCTGCCAGAGTTAATGAGTTCTCGTTTGTCAGTGAATACAAAGACGGTGACATCGTTGACGCCTTGTCTGCGAAGGGGTTCGAGCCAGGAACTTGAGTCACTCTATCCACCGTCTAGCCTCAGAGAGTAGATTAAATGGATGCACATCCAAGTATGTATTGCACACACATATACATACATACATACATACATACATGCATACATACATACATACATACATACATACATACATACATACATATATACATACATACATACATACATACATACATACATACATACATACATACATACATACATACACATATGCATACATACATACATACATACATACATACATACATACATACATACATACATTTATTTATACATATATGCACACACATGCATACTTACATAAATATACACACAAGCAAATTGGACATATGGACAAATGTGTTTTGAGGTAATGAGTAGGCCGATCTAGACGTGATGAAACCTGGCAAAGCCTGTGAGCAGTGGCTGCCTTCAGAAAGACGAGCAAGTTGGATTTAGATGAGCTTTCCACTCGTCTCTTCGGGTTGGTCTTCATTGCCCAATACCGGCGATGGTAGACTTCTCTTGCGGTGGTGGCCGGCCAGAAGCAGGTTGCATGAAAGAGGGGACTGAAGGGGAGCGAAGAGGAGGGAAGAGGCGAAAATGCTTCTGGGGAGACGAAATGGAGGCTTGGCCGGGTGAGATGGTGAGATTAAGATTGAGAGAGAGAGAGAGAGAGAGAGAGAGAGAGAGAGGTCATGAGAACGCGGCCGTTCAGAGGTGACCTGAAAACTGACTCAAGATGCCTGTTTCCATGTTGGCCCAAGTTGCACACCGACGACACCGTATTTTCGGCTTGGCAACCGTGTCGCGTCTGCCTAACGCCAGCTCGGGTGAATCGTGGGGTGCCGAGATTCATCAAACATGTCACGTCTTTGACAGACGGCCAGAGTGGGATGTCAACGGGTTGTTGCTGCTCGGGCAACCCGGGGGGCTTCGGCAGCTCTTGGACCGAGGAAACAACTGTCCATCTCCGCGCTCTGCACTACGTCAACATTTCGTGTTCGTGTGCAATCAGCAGTTAGGCAGCAGTTTAATTACACATCATGACTACCGCTTCTGGGGCGTTTGCCTCCTCGATCAGTCTCAAAGCTAAAGAGCGAAGCTCAAACAGGCCAGCGCTAGTGAGAAAATATTCGTTCATTTTCAATGTGAGCAATTGTCGCGACTTCGAGGGGATCATGGATAGGAAGGATAGGCACGAAAGATGCGTGAAATGCAACCCAAAAGCTGTCATATTCTAGTTGGACAGCAGTTTCTGCATGACCCAAAATAGCCTCATCAACACACACAATTGGATTCGAGCCCAGGTCGTGATTGGTTTGGCGAAGCTACCACTCGACTACACAGTAGCAGGTTACAAAAGGTAAGTAAGCTATTTAAGGATGGTCAGGATTGTTGCCAGGCCAACCCTCATGGTGTCCGCCATTTTTAAATTGAACACTACTTATTTCCAATGTGAGTAGTCAGTAATATCTTGATAAACACATAATCGTCTAGGATATAGGGAAAAACTGAATTATAGGGAATACTTGAATAGCTTAATGCTGACGGGGCTTGTATTC